ATTAATTTTATAAAAATAATACTAATAAATAAATTATAATAATAATATCATATACTAATTTTTATTTTTAATAAAGAAAGATTATATTAGTTTTAAATAAAATACAAAAAATTTTAATCTTTTCATCTAATTAGTAAATTTTATTTATTAAGATAATATTTCTATGATAAATTAACATAAAGATAAAAATATAATAATTACTTAATATTACTAAAGACAAAAAATAAAATTGAAACTAATTAGATAAATACTAATTAAAAATTGTGGTAAAAAATTTAAAAATTAAAAGGGATAAATTCGTTAATAATATTAAAAAATTTTAATTTGCTAGCGATTTAGTATAAAAAACTACTTTAAATAACTTTTTTAATCTATTAGCAGTTTGAATCTAACCGTTATTCACTAATTCCAAATCATTAGATAAAAAGTTTTATTAAATACTTAATTTATAGTAATTTAAAAATAAATAAATTTACTTAATACTTAATCTTAATAGATTAATTAAAATCGTTAATTATTATCTTCAAACCATTATATATCAAATTGGGCTTTAATATAAAAATTGAATCTAAAAAAACTAATATTAATGGAAAGAGCCATTTAACTTTCCGCAACAAAAAGTTTGAAATATGACGAAATTCAAAATTGACAACATATCAAAGAGAAAAAGAAGTTAGTTTCTTCTTCCCTGAGCATGACGAAAAGAGCAGCATAGTGGAGGATATTATTTTCAAATAATTGCGATGCCTTCTGCCTCTCCGATGGACCATTTTTTTTTCCAACTAGATCGATCACCTGAGGCCGGCCAAAATAAAACTAAATCACCTGGCTCTACCGTCTTAAAAAAATGTAAAAAAGGGAGGATTCAAGGTGTCCGTACGATCATCAACTACCAAACCTTTCTCTCCATCACCTAGTCATTGGAGCCATTAGATATTGAGCAACATATTTAAAATACACCATACCAATTTACAACTATTATGTAATATTTTATGCAAGAATATGGCTATGAATTAACCACATCCCCAACACTGGATCTTGTTTCAGTGTCTTGCTCTGTAATCTGCTGCAGCACATAAAAAGGGAGAGAGAGGTGCTGAATATGATCGAGCATATCTTAATGGGACTAGTTTTCTGCTTTCTAGCCTGGTTTCTCCACTCGTGTCCTCTGCTTTCTTTTCTATAGTTTTTGATATTCCTTCTCCAAATGTTTATTTCAATTAAATGACAAAAAAAGAAGTATTGGTTTCACCCATTTTTCATTTTCATTAAGCCCTATATGTCCCCAATTTTCCATTCTTAAAGAAATTCTAATTTCAAATCTCTTCTTTCCCATATGAGTGCAAAAATTAAATTTGTGCACATAATGATTTGTAAATATTATTGGAATTAATCAGACCAAAAATTTAAATACCTTAAAAAAAAATCATAAACCTTGCAATGAAAAAATACCTAAAGGACAAATGGACAAACAACTTAGGGATTAGAATTAGTCTTATCCTTTACTCCCCTCAAAGTCAATTTCCTCCTTATTTTTGTAAATTTTAAAACAAACCTCTTTTCATGGTTTGTTTACAATTTGCACAAACAAGGACGCTAAGACAGAACAAAGTGTGCCATCTCAGAATATGAGTCACTGCTGCCGGTGCAAAGACACTTTTGTTGTATTATTGTACAGTAATACTAGAATCTTACCAAAACAGAACCAGGCATGATATGATGTGTGAGAAAGGAGCTAGCGGAGGATGTGGTGACAATAAGGTCAAGACACCGTCATTCCGTCATTTAAAAGCAAAAAGGACCCCAGTCACAAGCGGCACACAAGGCAGACCAATCAACAAGGGAACAAGATTGATCTTTAACCAGTGGAAACATCTCTGTAATGGGAAATCCTAATCCACAACTAGGCAGGGTGCATGTGAAAAACAGAAAAGGAATGTTGAAATTGATTTAAATTTTATAGAATTAGTATGTAATTACTCGTGAGATTAATGGAACTAAAAATTTTA